GTAACATTGTGCGAAGTCCTTGCTATTTCTTGAGCGTCATGCTTTTTAACTAACTTTGTACTTGTTGTATCGTAATTTGTACGAAACTCAGGTTCGCCTGAGTGTAGAATAGTACCATAAGGGTATTTTTTAGGTTGTCAGAGTCACACCAGCTCAGAGAGTCCCGTGAATTAGTTTTCTTTTTGTCCAAAAAATGGCTACCTTGTTATGGCGTTCCTTTTTGATGCTTACTGTTATGAGACTTGCAAAACCATGCGTAACGCAACCGACGTAAAACTCTGTTTTAGCACTTTACGTATCTGGCAGCAGCAAGTGTCTAATCATCGTGTACAAAGTTTTTTGAACAAAAACTTGAATAAAAAAGGTTAAACGGTTGCTGTAAAAGTAGCACAGAATGTTCCGACCATATTCATTTAAAAAAACAAGAAAAAATGTTGTTTTTAATGTGTGGTGTGATTCGACTATTCTACAAACGCGTGAAATAAGCTAGATCGACATTATTTTTTTGTCAAAAAATCGAATACCAAACAAAAAATGGAAAAAAAATTTTAAAAAAGTTTGCACAATAGTTTTTTTAAACAATTTAAGTTAACCTTTTTTACCAAACAAGTGCTAAATGAAACATCCAAAATTAGTTTTAGTAGTAATACCAAATTTTGTGAGCTTAACAGTCTAAAGAAGAAAATTTCCAAATAACGAACGTTACTCGATCTTGGTACGCGTTCGAAATTAGACTTAACCTCTGGAGCAATTTTTATACGTTTTTTTTTCAACACTGGGGCATTTTTTTGAATGTTTTAGAATCTCGTTCAATACACGACTGAAAAGGCTTTAAAATGGTATATAATTTTTACCTTATCCTTCCTACCCATGATAATTTATGATACCTGATTTTACGTGGAAAACAAAAAAAAAGAAAAAAAGAACTAAAACACCCGAATACAAAATTCCTCCCCGTTTTCAATGGTCTGAACAAAGTTGATTTGAATCCGCTTAATTTTTGACTATTTCCTTACTATTCCTGAAACGTACTATTCCTGTTTCAAACATCGTTTTTTAGAAACTTCGAGGTTTTCATAGATTATTTTGTCTCGTAAATGTTAATTGGTTTCTTTTACCTAGAATTCGGCCTAGACTTTGGTCGGATTAGTGTCGTATCATTTCAGTTTTGCGTTGTACATTATGTTAACACTTACCATTTTATTGTTTTCCCGCTTGCATTTATCTTCTGCTGGACTCTTCAGTTTGCTTTATTAGTAGATCAAGCTCGAGTTCAAGTTCAAGTTCGAACAAATTTACAGGATGTTAATGCTGGCAAGCAGGGGCGGATCTAGGATTTTCTCGAGGGGGGGGGGGGCGGATTTTCAAAAAAAATTCGAAATTTTTTAGGTCGACCGATTTGATTTTTCGATCTCTCCCTAAGCGCGATTTAGTCCCTGTTTTTTGGTCAAAGGCATTTTTTGGCACTTTTTGAAAATTTTTGACCAAAAAATCACGCTTTTTCGGCGCGCTCCCCCCCCCCCCCCCCCCACGTAAAAAATTTAATCAGTTGTCGTTCTATCTTGGTCTGGCTTCTCGACCCTGTTAGGGCATGCCATGGATCGTCCGAATATGTCTTGCCAGGTTTGTCTTCGATATTGAGACTGCGCACATGGGGCAGTTTTTCTTCTCTTCGGGTCGTCGATTTGTCGCGGGGGTGGTCAAGCATTTTCTCTTATGATTTGTAAGGGCCGATTTTGTTGCTACCGTCTTTTTGCATCTTTCACAGGTTTGTTTTTCGTCCCGATCTTTTCTATGCATCCTAGTTACATGTATTCTTAGGCCCGTTAGGCTATTACATTCCTCCACATATTGAGCATGCTGTGGATGTATTTATTTCTGCTGTTTGGTTCCTTTCTGTGTTCTCTTTATCTGCTTTCTTGTGCTCCCACATTCTTATTCTTCTCACTCTCTCTTCGATGAACTTCTTGTATTTCTTCCAGTTTAATGCTAAGCTTTCGATGGTATCCGGGTCTTGGCCTGCATGTCTCAGCAGTGTCATCCAGTATCCAATAGTGGTTTGTCTGGCTTTTCTTTGCTGGTCCGAAATTTCTGGAGCTGGCCAACCCAATACCAATTGCTTAGTTAACCTGTTGTTGTCCATTCTAAGTATGTGTCCAATTCTGATTAAATGCCGTTTCTCAATCTTCAGTTCCATATTATCAATGGTCAATTGTTTCCTGACTCCAAACATATTTATACTCTTCTCCTGCATTTCTTTAATTGGGGGTTTGGTTTTACTGGCCCATATATATCGGTATAATCTATCAATTTCTCTTTGTAATTTGTTTATTTCTGATTTATACCATGGGCGCACCGCGGCGTCGAACAGTGCCGTTGACTCAACGCATGTTTGTGCTACGATCGCCTGCTGGCGTTTTGTGAGTCTCGTCTTTTTTAGTCTTTTTTTACGATAAATGCCGCTCTGCGCATTCGTTGAAGACGCATGGTTAGATCGATTTTCCTGTCTGCATACGAGCCCAGACTTCTTATGTCATTTGCTGTTCCTAGGGCTAAATGTTCTTCTTTATCTGGGTGACACATTTCCTCAAAACGGCCTAGGATCTCCATCACCGTCTGTTCCCCGTTTTCGATTTCGCTTTTTTTTCCAATCAGTGTGGTATCATCTGCGAACAGCACTTCTGTTAACCTTACAACCCTCGTCGCAGAGTTACCACGAGCCTTTTTCATGTCTTTAAGGGGGAAAGAGTTCTCTGGACTCCACTGCCATGGTGCTCCAATAGGTTGGCGCGCTCTTTCTTGTCTTGTTTTTGTGGCTATTCTGATAGATGTTGCATGAGATACATTGAATAGACCAGGTGAGGTGGCACATCCTTCCCTCAATCCTCGTAGGGGCATCCATGTTGTACTATTGGCTTCTCTGCCCCTTACCTCATACGTGGTGTACTCGTGCAACCCTTTCAAGATGGTTATTGTTTCCTTCTTCATTCCGAACTTTTTCAACATTTCCCATAAAATGGGTTTAACTTTTTCAACATTTCCCATAAAATGGGTTTCGTCTCTTTGTGGTACATAATCCCTGGGTGGATTTGGTTCTTCTCCCTTTCGGGATTTTGGACCTTCTCCATGGTTCCCTGGGTTGATCTGTTTTTTGTTTGCGTATTCCGGGGAATACGGTCTTCGCTCGCCACCACTTGAAGGTAACAGATCTTGGGCAAACGTTGTCGTTCTATCGTTTGTTTGTTTTTTTCCTCGTCTAACTTGTAACAATACGAACTTTTCCTGTGATTTCAGCAATATTTATACGATTGCTTTCAGCGATCTCTTATACTATTTTGAAAAGATATTTTTGCTTTTTGATATCCTCTTTTAATGCTCTAGTAAATGAAATCAAAATTGCGTGTGGTAATTTTGTTAAGTGTTTTATTCACAATTTCAAAATTTTATATATTTTTTCGTTTTATTAACAGCCTGATACCTTAAGAATCTACATAATCACTTTATTTCAGGGATTCAAACCCTCCCCCCCCCCCCCCCCCCCTCAGGGATTCAACCCCCTGCCGACCCAAAGGGTCCCCCCTTTGGTAATTTTTAAGAAATAGATTTTTGGCCGACCGACCATAAAATTTTTCTAAAGGCGCCTTTGGCGCCAATTTATACTAATTTTGAGTGGGGAGTGCGCGCCGAAAAAACGCTATTTTTTCATCAAAATTTTCCAAAAAGTGCCGAAAAACGCCTTATTTAGCCTGTTTTTCAAAAATTTTGCCTGCGGCGCAGAATTTTCGGCCAAAACTGCTTTTTTAAGTGCTTTAGGAGAGCTCGAAAAATCAGTTTGGTCGACCTAAAAAAAACAAAAGGTCGACAAAATTTTAGAAAATCCTAGATCCGCCCCTGCTTTATTTGATTATATACTTTTAAAAACTTATATCAGGTTTTCACTTTCTTAAATGATTTATTCCTTCTGGTGGAATTTGGTTGTCGACCTTTTGATAGTTATGTGTGTTGAGAGAATTGATGGATCGTACCTACTCATTAAAATTTTTATTAAGGTTATCAGAAACTTTGAGATATGTTGCTGTTTTTTCAATTTATCTTATTGCTAAACATCTCAATTAATGTTCTTATGCACTGCTTGATTTTATTTGGTATGATGGTCTTGTGTTTTGTTTGTAAGCGTAAGTCGGGTTGGGCTTGTCAAAACCGGGGACTTCTGAGCTTTACCCGATGCATGGGGGGGGGGGGGTATGGTGGGTGACGTCATTTGCATCCTGGCTAGCCAAGAGTCGGTTTCACCTCGTGAAGACGGCGTCGTTTCGATCTGATGCTCTTGTTGCACGTATCCGAAAAACATTATTATTTTTTTAATTTGATAAAATTTAATAATGTGATCTAGTATGTTTCAGAATACTTTTTATGCTCAAAAGTCTAAAAAAATGAACATACCTACAAGGGTGCTCAAAAACTGATTGATCAAAATTAATTGCAACCAATAAGTTGAATTTTGGTTTAACTATAGTTTTTATAAATAAGCTGTTGGCTTCTACCACCAAATTATTTGAAGATATTTTGAGCTTATAAGAGACATACAATTTTTTTTGTATGTGAAAATTTCTTTAAATGAGCTGCATTTGGGGAACTTGTAAAAGTTTCTAATGGTTCTAGTAAATTTTTACCATAATTTTGGCGCCCACCAGTGTTGAAGGCTTAAGTACCTCGTTGTAAATTTTATGTTGATGTTAATTGAACTGAACACTTGCCCCATAAATGAACTCATATTGTTTCATTTTGTGCTGCAACGATGTTATGCTAATGTGTTCCTGATGCTGCTTGAACGGTCTGAGACAGGACGAACAAAAAGGTAATCGAAATTTGACTTCTGAAATTTCATGCTGTCTGCGTATAGCTCAAATAGCGATTGGTACATTTTTGAGAGAATTTTCTGAGACTTAATTTTTGAGAGGTTCGACTTAATTTATGGCTTGAATACGTATCGCAGTTATTTTGGTTTGAGATGAGGAAATGATCAAATGGGTATCGATGACAGTGAAATCCTAGCCGAATTTCTGTTCAATGCAAAACAGACAAATGTGGAACAGACTTCTCTACGAATCACACGAGTTCATCTTAACGACTCCGTTTCATTTCGAGCCAGCAAAGAAATCTACATTAATAAAGGTGATAACGATAATGATGTTTTAACTTCGAGTTTGGGAGAAAAATGTCGAATTCGCACATCATCGACTGAAATGGTAGATGATGAAGATGAAAGCGTCGAAATAGAACGTGACAATGACGACGGAGACTCTTCCGACTCGGAGATTTGGCTCCAAAATGAAGCAACTGAGAACGCAGGTATTGTTTCTTTATATCAATTTAAGGACCAAGTTGACATCGTATCCCCTAAAGTGGTTTCCTCTTGCGATTAGCAAGCGTTATCAAACTGGACTATAGACTTTTTTCTGGTTAACAACTAGTTTAACAGAATCACTGGAATCATTTTACCCTTGATTCATATGAAATCTTAAGTCAGGTGTCAATTCGAGCATGTGGCGAAGAGGTAACGCCCCTGCCTATAAAGGCACAGGTCAATGGTTTGAATCCGGGCAGGTTCTGTTTTTTTTGTATGCGCGAAATTTTCTGCGCGTCAAAAAATCTTTGTCGGACTTGTTTGTCAGCTTTTTGTCGGCTTAGTTACCGCAGCACGAAATTTGCCTAAAGTTGACAATTTTTGCTCGAATTAAAAAAGATTTCCATGTGCATTTAGTGAAGTGGTAAGACCCATGCCTGAGACGACAAATCCCAAAATTTCGGTTTCAGTCGGGTCCTGTTCGAATATTTTACACTTTGCTGTCTGTTAATTTTTGTCGGCATAGGTCCCGCAGAAAGGTTCGCTTTCTTTTTAGCGTTTTGAAAGTTCCTTGTAAAGTTTATAATGGTGCAAGTAATTTCGTTTCAGGAATTTTTTGCCCATTTTTACAATTTATATAAATTTTTTTGACCAAAAAAAAACATTAAGTTTTTGTTTCATTTTTTGATTTGTCTTTTCATTTGCTGGTAATCCTGCTCATATTTGGAAGGTTCATCATTCAAAAGACGTACTTGTTGTTCATTGTTAAAACTTGCAGCAGTTAAATTTTAAAAAGAATTAAAATTATAAGTGTTTTGGAATCTAAAGCTTTTGCGATAAGTAAATGTATTGAAACTGGGTGCTACTTCTTTTTACGTAAATAAATATGTTCTTAGAATGACTGAAATTCGATGACTGAAAATGACTGAAAATAGGACTTATAATGACTGAAAATTAAGTCATGTTATCTGTTACTATCCGGTTGTGTTTCCCAAATTTTGTGTACATAAGTAACTGAAATTGCAAGTCGATTGACTTTTGTCGGACTTTGGTTTTTGTCCTCATTTTTGCCAGCTTTCTTGCGATTAGTTTCTTTCAATAAGTTTTTCAATAGTTTTAAAGTTCAATTTTGCAAGAGTTAAAATAATTCTATAGTAAAAAAGTAAAAAAATATGTGTAATAGATATCAGGTTGTCTCGGTTGCTTAGCTTCTGGTTAAGTTTTTTTTGCCCCAGTTATATGGACTGTGTCTAGAATTTTAAAATTCTTATTCTCGTTAGATTGGAGCAGCTCTACTATGAAGGTGATACCAATGCCGAAACTTTTATATTGGCCTAAGTTTTTGAAAAAAAAAACATTTTTGATTTCAATTTTGACCTGGTCGATTTGTTCAACAAAGTCAGTAGGTGAATGTTGCATGGGAGTGTGGTTATTTTTCATTTAGAGTTTTTCATTTTATTTTTTAATAACGGGCCTTAACTATTTTTGTCTTGTCTGTGTTGTAAGCATATTGTTGTACCGTTGTGCATAAGCGTCGCGTATGTAATTTATGATGTAATTGGGTTAATTTCATTATCTAGAAGTTTTTGAATTTATTTTCTGGCAATTTTATTTTTATGCCTAATTTTGTGAAAGTTTTTGATTTTTTTTGAAATTTTTATATTTTTCAATTTTGTTTTTCCTTTCTTCTGTTAAATAACAAGAAGATTTAAGTAGACGTGTGTTCAAATGTTAGTCATGCTACATGCAGTTAATTTATTTTGAAGTTGTTTTGCAACGTTCTTTGGTTTATATTGTAAATTTCTGGACCACGATTTTTTGAACGAATTTTTTTTTCGTATCATCATTTTCATCTCTTAGGCGTGAGAGAGGAGTTTCAATGTTTTTTTATTAAAGGTATGCTTGTATTGTGTTTTTTTTCGGCAACGAATTTCCATAAGAATCAGAAAAGTTTTCTTTTGTTTTGTAATTTAAGACATTTTTTTCAGCAACATTTTTTCATCAACAAATTTTTTCAGCAACCAAGTTTTTTTCTTGTATAAAAAAGCGACAAATGAATTTTTTTAATTAATGAACAGGAGGCTAATTTTTCTGAGATTGCACGCTTTCAACGTAATTCAACAAAAATACTTTAATCTTAAATAATATGAGTTGAAATAATTTTTGCTTTTATCGACTTTTTCTTGAACCAATATATTTTCGTATCGCATTAGTCCAATTTCGAACGAGTACAGCGATCGAGTAACGTTCGTTATATATAAATTTTCGCCCTTTAGGCTAAAAAACTTGATTCTACTGAAAAAATAGCCTTAGAAGCTTTCTTAGCCATAAAAGGGTTCGTGCAAGTTTTTTTGTGCAAAAATTTGGAATTTTTTCTTTTGTTTTTTAATTTTCCTTGAAGAAAGTTGTAGTATTTTATGCCTAAATCACTAATTTTCTACGAGTTTTTATAGTTCTAAAATTAAACCAAGCAAAAGAAACGACCCTAATTTGAAGAAAGAAAAGTTTTTTTTTTTTAGTTTTTGTACGAATGTGCTACTTGCGCATGCGCGGCAACCGGCTATCCTTGTAAAAGTTTTGATTTTTCTTTTGAAAGGGGCAGTTAGTTTCTCAGAGGATGAGGCGCCTACATTGACTGAGGAGCAGAAACTGATGATAGAGATGGGTCTCCCTGTGTCTTTTTCAGCCGCAGAGGAGAGGGAGGCCAACTACAAAGAGTCAGTATGTTAATTGGCTGAAAAAAAGAGCATAGAAAGCGGCCAAAGATCGGTTTTCCTTTCATTGAACGCATTAAAAGTGGTTTTGTAATCAGTTTCCATTCTATTGTTTTTTAGCTCCGTGTATTTTTACGAATTTTCGGTCGACTAGCCCTAAGTTTCTTCTAAAGGAACTTCAGGCGTCATTTTTTTCTGGATTTGAAGGACAGCGCGCTTCGAATTTTTAGTAAACGTTTTGTCATCTAAAAATAATTATGGATCTTTTTGAAAGTGAAATATGTGCAGGTCGTTATTTTTTAGGAAATGCCGGGAGATCTTAAGAGTCGAAGATAATTTTACACGGGTTGAATGTTCCAGTAATTCGACCAGTGTCGCCTCAGATCGATTAATTGATTCATGCAGATTCCAACAGAGTGTTGCATACGCACTGCAGACTATCGCTTCGGCAGAACAAACTCAAGAAATCGTAACTAAATTGAAGTCTAAAAATCAATCGGACGAGGAAAGATTTCAAACTTTGCAATTGACTATGCAAGATAGTCTCAACGCTTTAAGATGTAATTGGAATCATTGCAGTTTTGAAGAGAGCAGATTCAAATCTGTACATGTAAAGTTCGTTAAAAACGCGTCACGTTACAAATCGAAAAAGAAACGCATAGCGAGAACAAAATGGAATGGCAACGAATTGAAAACAGTAAAGGATGCAGGGCTCGAATCTCAGTACATAACAGAAACTGAAGTCCCAGAACCTGAAAATTTCGGAAGTTTTTATGGTGAAAATGATGCTGATATGGTAACGAAGTCATTGAACAATGGAAAGGTATCTATGTCGGACGCTGGAAACATCAAAGAATTGGATGATACACAAACTAAATTTGAACTCATGTCACCAGGAATTTTCAAACCAGTTAGAAATGATTCACCAAACCTAAATGAAAATGAAACTGATTCAAAAAAAAATCTTTTCGGCACAGATCTCTTGGAAGCACAAGCTCCGAGTGTTTCACCAGCTCAGGATAGTTGTACTGGATATGTTAAGCTACGTACTAAGGAACTTGACAAATATTGGAGCCAGCGGTACAGGATCTTCTCCAAATTTGACCAAGGTTGTCATCTGGACGAAGAGTCATGGTTTTCTATCACTCCCGAGAAGATAGCCCAACATCACGCTGAAAGGTTTGTTAAGTATGACGCTAAGGTTGTTACTTAGCTTTCGATTTGTTAATTTTCTATGGTGTAAATTGAGGCCTTCTCGCGCTCTCTCTTTCTCTCTCACTATCGCTAATTTGATTTTACATTATTAGCAATCTTATTTAAATTCTAAAATCTCGGTGAAAGACTTTTTGTAAACAACTTGTCTAAGAGAAATACTTGTTTCGCTTCTTTCCCAGCTGAGTAAATTCATAATATAGTAGACTGCATGCTTACGGATCAGTTTAAAAGGTTCAAAAGATTTTAGGCTGATTTTTTTCATAGAACAAAAATGACATTTTTGGGCTTAATATGTGTCTACTAATGACGTCGGCTTATTTAACGCTTCGTAAATAATAGTTTGTAAATTCAACGGTCACAGCTGCATTTAAATTTGATCTGGCGTTTTAATATAACGATTTCTCGGAACTTACTGAACGAGCGTCACTGAAGAATTTTTGTAGACTCAAAGTTTTACTCATTTAGTTTTTCCTAGTAGTGTTATCTTATCGGTCATATTTTTGCTTCTGTATGCGAAGTGCAATTTCGCCTCTGTGCTTATAACTAATTTACGATGGTAATTTTAATCAATTCTGTGATAATATATACTCTTTTTGCTGTTGTGTAACTTCTTTCTAAACAAAAATTTTCTGTTTGTCCAGTTTTATTGTTTTCATAGCACCGTCGTAAATTTTCATAGCACCGTTAATTTGCTTTGCTCAATGCACTTAGGAGCATCTTGAAGACTTCTTTTTTGTTTGTGACCAGACCCGAGTATCGCGCCTGACTAATTTTTATATTAGTATTACTCACAGTTAAAGATTTTTTTGGCGGTGTATCGTCTAGCCTTCAGCTCGACTATCATTAAAGTTTCAACTAAAGACATTGAAAATCGTTATACGCAAAAAAAATAAAATAAAAATCAGAAAGTTTTCACAATTTGCACGGTGATCAGTGCTCAGTTCAAGTCACTACAAGTCGGGTGGGACTGATCTGAGCTAATATGTTACGGATTTTCTATTGCTTGTTTGATTGATCAGTCTCATTTGCTAATTTTTCTATTTCTCAGAAATGCAAGTTTCAATTTGAACGGAATTTAATTGTTGTTTTGTTGTATTTCTTAGACTGCAGTTTCAGGTTTTTAAATTTTTAAGCTAGTCGAGAATTTTTGCTATTCGAGCGGTCACCGAGTTTTCGAATAAAATTTTTTTTGCTGTTTTCTTGAAATATTAAAGTGTTTCCAGCTGACTGCTCATTTTTGTCTACGACGCGCATCTGTTCTTTAATTTGTCCATAGATACCCGTTGGAGTGTTCTCAGTCTTAGTTCCAAGATTTTTTGCAGAAGTTGTCTTTCACGTTTCTGCTCGTTTTCATAATACCATACTTCTTAAAATTAATATAAGGGCACTAAAGTTGCCGTCAATAAAATTTGGGGTCCGATGAAAATACTGTCGGAAATTAGAATGAAAAGGGAGCATTTGGATATTGAGGGGTTTCGAACTCCTGGTGGGTGGGGACGTTTTATCCGCCTTATCCTGCTTCTGGTGTTCAACTGTATCTATAATTTTAGAAGAATGAGTTTAGAATATTTCAGATTTCCAAGAAAAGCTTTGAGGTACGAAAGATACTGCAATGTTGCTTTGGATGCTAGTTTACCCATTCTTAATAGACTGGTATTATTGGCATACATATAACCAATGCCAAACTGTTTTCAAACCTGTAGGTGTTATGGGGACATAGTGCTGGATGCCTTCTGTGGCTCCGGGGGAAACTCGATCCAGTTCGGTCTCACTTGCGAACACGTGATAGGAGTGGACATTGACCCTAACAAAGTGGCCATAGCTAAGCACAACGCGTTCATTTATGGTAAGTTGTGAAAGAAAAATTGGAAGAATGTCTGAATGTAAGCAGGAATTGATGATTAGATTACACCGTAATGAGCTAAACCTGCATTATGATAGATCTCGAGTGACTATTATAGAGTGAAATTTTGAGCAATTTCTTTCTTTTTCTATCATTTCTTATGCAGTTTTTAAAATGAATCGAAATTGGTTAGTTAGATTTCTCTACTCAATTGTGTGGTATTTTTCGATAGTTATTTAAAGTTCCTCATGTGAATAATTATATTTAATTGATTATGTTGATCTTTTTGGTTAATTTTTTCCATGTATGAACAAAGATTCTTCTGTTTCAGGTGTTGACCAAAGAATTGACTTCATCGCTTGTGACTTCCTTGAATTGGAACCGTTTTTAGTAGACGCAGTTTTCCTCTCTCCCCCCTGGGGTGGCCCCACATACACTGAAAGTCTTGTGTTCGACTGTGAAAAAATGATGAACCCTCCACTCTCCAAATTGATTGAGCATGCGAGAGAGTTTTCTGAAAACATTGCAGTGTTAGTTCCGAAGAACATAGACGCACAGCAGATTCTTAATAACTATGTTTTCGAAGGAGAGTACATTGAAATTGAACAGAACTTCCTTAGCAATAAATTGAAAACAATAACTCTTTATTTTAACAATTTAGTGCGTTTTACGCAAGATGAGGTTTGAAAACAGCCAACTTTTCGTATTTGTTGTCGGTTCATTTCTTTTCGCAATCTTTGTTAAGTTATCATCTTTTTCCCTTTTGTTTTTATTTTTAAAAGATGCAGAGGACGAGTTGTCTAGCGAGGACGAATTTTTCCTAAAGCATAATACATTTTGTTTGAGATGAGAAATTTCTGATTGATAATGCTAGTTAAACTTTGCCCAATGAGAAGTATTCCTTGATTGCGTTCACAATTTTGGTGACTATTCTACATTGTCTTGCTGCTGCTGCTGCGTCAATCCAGATCTATCTATAGATTGCTGCATTTTTCTATCTTCACAAAGCAGTCCAAATGAGGTGTTTGCTAGTTCGCGTTGGGTCCAAAAGCTACAGCCTTGCGAGCTACAGTAAGATAACTGGTCAAATGGTGCGCACATCGTCTTCGAGTTTGAGCAACAATCCACTAGTAACTGACAAAGTAAGTAGTGTTGTATTAAATATATTTTGTTTGAAACCGATTTTTTTTACTTTTCATATTATGTTTTGTATTGCGAGGCCAAACTGTGCTCTGGATAGGCGCACAATTTTGTGTATGTATGTCCCTGGATTCCAGAGATAAGTCTTTGAACATATTCCAAAATTTAAGTGGATTCCACTTACAAAATTTACGTGGATTCCGCGTACAAATTCCTGTAACGTAAATTTTGTCGGCACATTTGTTTTGTCCAGGATTCCAAAATGTTGCAAAATGTAAGTGGAATCCAAAAAATGTAAGTGGAATCTGCAAAATGTAAGTGGAATCCGCAAATGTAAGCGGGTTCCGCAATTTTGTTTATTACTGAACTTGCATATGAACAACTTAAAGCTAGATGTGGAGTTATTATCTATAGCAACGCGAAATTTAATAGCAAGGACTTAACCATTGTCAGCGGAATCCACAAACGAATCTTCAAGCATAGGTTAACTAAATAGTTGGATGTCAACTTTTAGTATCGATCACCCGATGAATGAGGGAGTTCGTTCAATTTTTTGGGATCGGAAAACACAATCACCTAATCGCATTTATTTGGTTCAAAATAAATTGTCATCAGTATTCGGCTCAGAAATCATCATCGGTGTTTGAGATGAGATGGTTCAGTATTTGGTTCAAAAATTATCATCACTCATCAGTATTTGAGATGGGATGGTTCCGATGTTTATTAGGATAAAGGACGGCTCGATTGTATTTTTTGAGAGCTGATCTGAAATATCCTCTGTTGTTGTTGTTGTTATTAGCCCACGCGGGTCGGGTTGGGCTCTTCTGTCTCCAGGTCAAGGAACTTAGCAACCTCTACCGGCCGAAGCCACAGGTCTGCTGGGGTGAGTGGGGAGGGGTTTTGGGAGCAGTTGAAAAGGTGACATGTTGTGTGGGGGGCAAGGGAACAGGTTGGGCAAAGGTGGGAGATGGAGCTGTCGAGGCGGGATAGGTGAGTGTTAAGGAGCCGGCTGTAGCCAGACCGGAGTTGGGAGAGCTTACAGCGCGTGGGACGTGGGAGAGATTTTTCAGAGGGGTCAATCTTTGGGGGAGGGATACAAATAACTTTAGACGGAGGGGTTTCGGCTAGGAACTTGGTTACAAGGGAGGTATGGTTGTCTTTTAAAATTGGTTTGTAGTAGTTGAATATAAAAGTGGAGACTTCGTCTCGGTCGTCCAGAACTAGAGGGTGGTTTGCGTAGACTGAAAAGTCGGTTAAAATTTTCTAGGTGTCTTCTTTGAAGCAGCTTATAATTGAGGGGCGAAGTAGACGGGGAGGATGGAAATGTGAATGTATAAAATTAATGGGATGGTGGGAACGGTAGGTAGAGATAAAAAATTGAGATGACAGAAGGGTATGGTGGTCTTTGACCGTTAGGATTTCAGATTCACTGTGCAGGTGGGCAGTGGAACTCATTAGATTTGATCCAGTAACAACGCGAAGGGATTGGTTTTGGGCAACCTGCAGGCAATTTATGGAGGTGTTACTTGATGCGTGGGACCATGCGGGGGCTGCATAGTCAAGTATGGGGCGAATTAAAGCTTCAAAAGTTAGGAGGAGGGTTTCTTTGGAGTGACCCCAGGTTGATCCTGCTAATGCCTTCAGGATTCCGATCCTGCGTCTGGCCTTTTCAGCGGATTGTTTGCAGTGAGTGGCAAAACAAAGTGTTGGATCAAATGTCACCCCTAAGATTGTTGGATTTTTGTTTAGGGGTAGCGCCTCGTTATTTAAAAGAACACTAGGTGTTTTATTAAATTCTTTTTTATAAGAGGAGAAAAGTGTAACTGATCCTTTAGAGGACGCGAAACTTAGTTTGCGTGAGGTGAAAAAATCGTAGAGCCTTTTTAGGTAGCAATTGATGGAGTTTGAGGCGATATCAATATTGGAACTGCTTGCGAAGGGGTGGAAATCCTCTGCATACGAAACAAGGTTTACATTATCGGGAGGTGGCGGTGCATCATGGACATAAAAATTGAAGAGTGTGGGTGATAAAACAGAACCGTGGGGTACGCCACAGTGGATTATTCGATGGGGGGATGTGTGTTCACGGAATGAGGTGGCAGCCTGTCGACCATTAAGGTAATTACTTAGCCAGCGGACTAGACTTCTTGGGAGGGGAGTGTCATGAACGAGTTCCACAAGTGAGAGATGACACACCATGTCGAAAGCCTTAGATAAGTCAAGTGTGGCCAGTACCGTACTTTTAGGGGGGCGATTTTGGTTAAAACCGTCTGAAATGTAAAATTCGAGAGTGGAGAGAGCTGTGGTGGTGGAGTGAAAAGGGCGGAAGCCGTGTTGGTGTTTGGCGTTGGGGAGATGTTTGGTAAAGATGGGGTGAACGAGCCTCTCCAGAATTTTAACTGCTGGGCAGAGTAAGGATATAGGTCTGTAAGATGTTGATTGTTTAAGATCCTTATTGGGCTTTAGAAGCGGTGCAATTTTTGAATTTTTCCAAATTTGGGGGATAATGTTTTCGGACAAAGAGATATTAAAAAGGTATGTTAAGTATTGAGTAGCAAGTGGGCCGAGATGTTTAAGATGTATATTACAAAGGCCGTCGGGACCTAGCGCTCGCGATGGTTTGCTGTCTGCAATGGCTTGTTTTGTATTTTGAGGGGTAAAAATTGGGCTGTCTGACAGCGGTAGTTTGGCAATTTTTCTTCTCGTTATACGAAGGAGTTTGTCAGAGGCGTGGGGTCTGGCATTGGTGAATTGTTTGTTAAAAGAGCTGGTAATATCACGAGGTGAGTGTATGGGTTTAGAACCAAAAGTAATGGGGTGTCTTCCTGCCACGGGCTTAGATCCATTTAAGGAGCGTACCACTTTCCAGAACTTTCTGGCACCAGTGCGGTAGTCGCAAGTCCGGAGGAATTCTCGCCATTTATTTTCTTTGTCCTTTGCTGTCTGTTTCATGAGTCTACAGTTCAGTTGGGATATGACTTCTGGGGGGAGATTTTGTTGTCGGCTTAAATCTCTTTCGGCGGCAAGGGCAGTGGACTCGGGGGAAAGAGAGGGAGTGAAGTGGCGAATACGGCCAGCGGGGATGTGGTGGCGTGCTGCCCTGAGCACCAGGTCCCTCAAGAATTTCTCTCCGGCGGCAACTCCGGAAGGTGGAACCGCTGAAAAGAAACCCTCCTCAATTTCCTCTGTGAATTTGATCCAATCTGCTTTTAAAAAATTAATAAAAGTCCTTTTAGGTGAAAAATTTATAAAATCATCCAAGGGTAGTTCTAGAAGAATGGGTAGGTGATCTGATCCTAGAGATTTAATTGGGGTCCATGATGTGGAGAGTAAGAGCGATTGGGATGCGAGGGAAATATCTGGTGACGAGAGTTGGTTTTCTGAGTTAAAAGGGACTCTGGTTTGTGTGTCATCATTTAATGGTGCAAAGGTGGATTCGGTTATTTCATTGCCAAGTACAGAGCCGCGTTGATCTTCCTCGATGTTGGAGTTCCATAGTTGTGAATGTGCGTTGGCATCCCCGAGTACTAAGGCGTCCCCAGGTTCAAGTAGTTCGGCAAGGGACGCAGAGTAACCAGGGGGACAGCTCGAGCGAGGGGGGATGTAGAAATTATAAATACGAAGCTTGGATGAACTGGCTACCACTGATATGCCCATAGCCTCTAGTGTTTCATCGTTGTTAATATTTATTTCTTCGTATTGTATCGACTCATGTATGGCTATGAGAAGACCGCCCCCTTCTTTTTCTCGATCTTTTCTAATTAAAGTGTAGTGTGAGCCAAGTGAGGGGTTTCGAGATTTCTTTCTTAATTTAGTTTCTTGGAAGACAGCAATATGAATTTGATTTTGAGATAAGAAAGCAGCAATTTCGGGTGCTTTTCCGGAGATACCGTTGCAATTAAATTGAAGGATTTTTAAAAGGCCTTTGGCGGGGTGTGGTGGACTATTAACATTATTAACAGCAGTATGATTAAAATGGTTGTTTGAACTTGAGTTGTTTACACTATTTACACGATTACGATTTGCGCGATTTTGGGAGGAGGAATTATTATTCGAGGAGGTGGGAAGGGTGGGAGGGGGAGGGGGGTTAGGGAGGTGGTGTTGGGGGGCGGTTAGGGAAGTTGAACAAGTTTGGGAGTTGGGGGTGGTCAAGTTAGAGGACCTGGTGCCTGGGGGAGGTAAAATATAGGTAGAGGTACAGGTAGGGCAATAGTAGTCAGGGTGGTGTTGGTTAAGGTGGGTAAGACCACTACATTTAAGGTGAATGTAACCACAGATGTGGCACCAGACGCTGGGCTGGGTGCGTTTGATGCGGAAAGAGCAAGGGGAGCAAAAGTAAGGCCCTGGACCAGGGTTTGGATTAATGCCGGAGCGGAGTAGTAGTATAAGGATGAGCAGACGGAGCAGCCTGGCCGGCTTCAGACGCTCCGTAACCGAAAACCCGGAGACTTCTGAGCTTCTCCCGACCCAATGGGAGGGGGGGGCTTGACGCCATTTGCATCTTGGTGGGGCCCAAGATGTCGGATCCACCACTGGAAGGCGGCGTCGTCTGGATCCTGAAATATCCTCTGAAATTACTGAATTAAAATATCCTCTTTTTCTGAAATTTGAAAAGGAAGTTTTTAACAAGCGGAAAGAAAACTACAGTTAGAAAGAAAAATAAATGTTATTAAATTATAAAAAAATTTTAATTAAGTAAATTGGAGTTTTTTGAATAGTTTGCTGTGATGAAGATAGATGATCATGATCCATGCTTGATATCCTTGCGCTCTGAGCAAACTATTACTTGATTTTTAAACCTATTTTGCGTGAATATTTTGAGTCGAAGTTGCATGGTTGCTCGTAAATTAAGCAGTGAAGGGAGGTTTTAAGTCTTCGCGTCGTGTATTTTTGTTCTAACAAAGGTCTTATGTTTTATACACTCAAATTTGTTTTTTTTTGTTGCGAATTGACACTAGATGTTCTAGGTTACTTGAAATTCATTTGCTAAGAGTAAAGGAAACTTCGCTCTCCAAAAGACAGATGGTTGGTGTAAATGGTTGAAAAACGAGTCAGTTTTTCGAAACAATATTGAGTCAGTTTTTTAATTTTTTTTTGTTATTCAGGCCTTTATTGATGGCAAGTGGGTTGAAGCAAGGAACAAAGTGACCTTTGAGGTCAGTGACCCCGCGACCGGAGACTGTCTGGGCAATGTTCCGGATATGTCTGCATCAGACACACTCAAAGCCATAGACGCAGCCAAAAAAGCTCAAAGTCGGTGATGTTCGTAAAAAAACTATATCCCAATTAACCAGATGGAACTTCCAGAACATATCGAAAGATAGAATTACTCGTATTCGATTGCGAAATTGCATTCAAATTGAAGTGATGATTTTTTTGTGTAAACTAAAACTAAATTTATGTGAAATTACCAATCAATGAAGGTTGATGTTTCAAACGAATGATTTTGTTGAAGGAGGATGGGCAGCTACTCCACTGAAAGAGAGGAGTGGGATGTTGATGAGGGTAAAGCAACTGGTGGATGAACACTCGGAGATGCTAGCTGAGATCATGACTCTCGAATCGGTGATTGTTATACGGTGTTATTTCCATTCATGTACGGTATCATGTAAATAGTTTTTCTAAGTGCTTTCACTTGAATTTTTAAAGCAGTCGGCATTATAGATTGCTCATTTTCAGCTTACAAAGTTAAGGGATGTTGCCTGCTTCCGTCTGGAGATATCTTTAACTATGGTATTCTTAGCATCTTGGCGAAACTCATCAGATGTTCGCATGCTTAAAATACATTTCATCAGAAACGGTTCCCTTTTGCCTAAAACCCCCTGGCTGAACATCACCTTAAGGTCTATAATATTATATTCGGGTAGATGTTGATCGGAACACAATGATAAAAACGATGTATCATTGATAGCCATAACTTAGTTAGGATAGAATTCTATTTCAGGGCAAACCAATTGCGGAGAGTAGGGGTGAGGTGAAGTATGGCAACTCATTCTTCGAGTGGTTTGCAGAGGAGGCGAAGCGCATTAGGGGAGATATCCTTTTGCACCCTATCAAGAGGGACTCCCGATACCTCATAGTCAGACAACCCGTAGGCGTGGCAGCATTGATCACTCCCGTAAGAAATTGTAAACTAAAAAAACATCCAATCAGAAAAAGGAGTCACTCCCGTAAGAAAGTGTAAACTACAAAAACATCCAATCAGAAAAAGGAGTCACTCCCGTAAGAAAGTGTAAACTACAAAAGCATCCAATCAGAAAAAGGGATAGAATTGAAGATAATTGTGGGAAAGCCGTCCGTTTTTCTTTCACTTAAAATTACATTTTATTATTATTAAGTTTCAGAAACTGTGTTTTTTTTTGCCTGAAAATCGATTGACTGCTGGACTATCTAAAGTTTTTTTAATAACATTATCGGTAGATGCTGATAGGAAAAAGGGTTCCACTGAAGCAATTAGAGTCACGGTTGTAATTAAGATGAATCCGCAAAATTGCGCTTAATTTGTTTTGCCTTGTCGAAGCTGAGCAAGTTTCTTTAAAATGTTTCAGAAGTTGATCGCGTGAATTGGTGGCTGTTATGTTGGCTTTAAAATAAAAGATCCAGGAAAGAGACTCGTTTTTGGCATCATAGATGTTTTCAGTGGAACTTCCCTTTGGCCATGATCACAAGGAAGGCGGGTGCTGCATTGGCTGCTGGATGCTCAGTTGTGATCAAGCCTGCCGAAGACACTCCACTAACTGCATTGGCGATGGCCAAAATAGTAGAGAAGGTTGGATTATAAGACTGAAATGATGAAAAAGAGGACAGAGTTTTAAAAGAAGAAATTGAGAAAATCTGTCTGCTTATGGTTAGATGATTACACGAGCGTAGCATAATGTGATTGCACGATAAAAAACTTTACAACCTTTTTACTTTTTGTGGCACTGCCAAGGTGAATGTGCTTTCTTGGGGCACTTTTAAAACAGTAGGCAGTATTAAAAGTATAAATACTCTTGACATTTGATAAGTAATAAGTTAATACAGTGCATGCTTTTTACACTAGCAATCAGTGTTCACTAAAAGTGGTCACTTATTTGGAAATTGTAAAGCATGTGTTCACTGCTTCATTTGTGGCTGAATGTTTAGTGCGTGAGACTCAAATTTCCGAGCTCGCAGATCGAATCCCATTTTTTTTGCATTTGAAATTCCTGAATTTTGTCGCTTTCTCGCTCGTGTTTGCGAAGTTGCAGCTTCGCCACTGTGTCAAGATAAGGTTTATCGATTTTGTTTTCATTTTTTAAAAACTTAACCGCAAGTTTTTAGTGCGAGTTCTTTTTAATGAAAGTTAGTTTGCTTTATACTCCAATGCTTGCTTGATATCGGAACACTAGTATATACTATAAATGTTAAGTAATAAATGTGTAATAAATTGTTATCGGGCAGTTTCATTGTGGGTATATTAAATAAATTTACAAACTACGCCAACATTTTTAGTGCCTAGAGAGTACCATTGGACCTACAAATGCCTCAGAGTGGAACTTGTTTTAGTATATTTTTGATACTGGGTGTGAAATTTATTTTCAATTTATAATCATTATTATTGCAAGTGTAACCTGAAAAACCGAGCTTTAATTTTTTTCGAAAAAATAAGTTGATAAAAAACGATAAACCGGTAAAATAAATACAATTATTACGCTTGCGATTAGAAAGCGTTATCAAATCGGCATATAGATTTTTAAGGTTTAACTACTTGCGTTTTTTTAGACTCAAATTTCTCTGCATCTCCATCACAATTTTACTGAAGGTGCTGAATTTGTCTGGAGCGCGAAGGTCCTGTGTTTGAATCTGACCAGGACTTGTTTTTTCAAATTTGACATTCCGTTACAAAAAATGTCCGCCTATTGTTGGTCTGCTTATTTTTTTTGGGTTTGTTGCCCCATCTTTGATTTTTTTTGCTGTGCGCAATTTTTATTGATGTTGCTTATAATGTTTTGTTTTACTCCTTCAATTTGTTTTTTTTGCCTGCCTTGACTTCGTATATTTTCCTTTTGAACAGTAATGAACGTAGTAAGGCTCTTATAAAGGTCTTGCTGATTTTTTTTCAGAAATCTTAAAATATGCACTTGTGTATATAAGCACTTTTTGAGTTCAATTGGAATTCATTTGCTGAAAGTGACGTAAATAGCACTCTCCAAATACGAATGTGCAAATGGCGCATAATTTCGTGAACGATTTCGAGTTTCGAAAGTGGAACTTAATTTTCAGATTTCCAGCTGAATAAAAACTTTACATGATGATCCAGTTTTCTCAAGTTGGGTTGTTCTTATCAAAAAAGCGCCAATCATAAATCGTTCTAGAAATTCAAATAGCTTTAAGGGTATCTATTTTTTATTTGAAATTCGAAATTTGAGATTTTTTTTCATTAAAGTCAGTGTTTTTTTTTTGATGTTTACTTGCGTTTTTTACTCTTTTCCAATCCCCGATTGGCTTTGTTTTGATTTTTTGCTCCAAAATTTAATTCGACCCAGATGATATCGGCTTATTACACAAGCAAAATTTGTATGATAGAATGAACTCTCTCTTTTTCACACAAGCAAAGCTTGTGTGATAGTATAAACTGTTTTTTTCCCAACCTAAGTCGCAAATATTCATTTTGAAAGTGCTCTTTTTTGCAGTATGTGCATAAGATCAATAACCAGCTTTTAAGTACAACCAATGCTAAGGATTTCAACACAGACTATTATATTACAATATCACTTAAGCTTCAAAGTAATATGGATCTGTAGCGTAGAGGTAGGGAAGGAGACCCGCAGCAAAATACGAGGGTTCGAACCTGGGCAGGGTCGGATGTTTTCAATGAAATTTTTCGTATACTAGTTAAAATGCGTCCGCTCTATAATTTGAGGCATGTTAGTTGGTATTTTTTTTTCTAATTGACTGGTACTGCTAATGCGTCATAATTGGCTTGCATCACTTTGCAATTATGTAGACTCATAGTGTGCGTGCGTCACAAAGTAGACTCAAAGTTTTACTCATTCCAATTTTCCCAGTAGTTTTATCGGTCAGATTTTTGCTTGTGTATGCTTGTCTAATTTTGTTTTGTATCTACAACAATTTTGTTCAGTCGTCGCTTAATGATTAATGTTTCCGCTAAATATCCGCTCAATTGTTTTTTAATTTTAAACGCGGTAGATTGTATTTCTTGACGTGGTTTGTGCAAATAGAAAATCATTCCAGACAATCTTATGAAGTTTTTTCTTTTCGATTTTTTTAAATTTTTTTTCGCATTTAGTTGTTCTATTTCCTTTCCTGTGTGCTAGCTTGTAATGTTGTTTTTATCTGGTATCGCAAGTTGTGCAAAGCTTTGTTTCGTCTCTGTGTTAATTCTCGTTTTGGGTTTTCTCTGGGTTTCGATTGCAAACAACCAATTTAATTTACAAGTCCCAACTGGAAATCTGGCGAACGCTTCAAAATGTGTGATATGATTGTTTTTTTTTTCAATTGGGCAACGGGAAGTTGTTTTGGGTTTTCTCTGGGTTTCGATTGCAAACAACCTATTTTAGTGACAAATCCCAACTGGAAATCTGGCGAACAGTTCAAAATGTGTGATATGAATGTTATTTTTTCAATTGGGCAACGGGAAGTCGTATTGTAGGCGAAGTTGCCTTCTGGAGTGTTCAACGTGGTCACATGCTCCAGATCCAATATAGAGGAAGTGGGGGACACACTGTGTAAGAGCAAAGACGTCCGCAAACTCAGCTTCACAGGGTCCACTGCTGTAGGAAAAGTTGGTATTGCACATAATTCTTAACAATTATGGGGGTTAATCGCAAGTCCGATGGTGGCAGACTTTTACCGTTCATTCTAAATTTTAAAGTGGTCAAAGTTTTGTCGAAATGCTCGTTCGCTTCATAGAATTCACGGATAAAAGAAATACAAGAAAAATTCTTCTTGAAAGAAATATGAGCAATTCAAAGTGAATGTGAAAGCAGTAATCTTTGGAAAATACTGAATTCAAAATTGGTCAAATTTTCGGTCCATTTTTTGCTTCGCTATTTACACTGCTCCTCGCCGAAATTTCAAATCAGTTTTCCCCTATTTTTTCATTGCAGCTAGAGTTACCAGCGACGTCCATTATAATTATTTAAGATATCAATTATAGCTAAGGAAATTTAACGAAGCGATAAGGTATAATGTGGAGGATGCGTTTGTAACGAAGACCTAGCGATTTGTTGACAAGAGAAGTGCACATAACCAATTTGGTGCTTTTGATGACAATTTGGTTTTAGAAAGTGTTTACAGCCTGATTTACCAATAGCCAATCGGTTAAACTATATGGTTAAAAACACGTGATTCAACCAACTAAAAATTTACATCAGACTTTAGTTAAGGAATAAATTCTCCGTTGGCTTTAGATGAGTTAATCATATCGGACTTTTCGCTTACATCTAAATGCTCTCGCGAATAGGTTTTAAAATACTATATCTTTTGACGCCATCGGACGTTTAGTTGTGATACCTGATTTTGCAAATAAAAACACTCGAATTTAAGTTTCCTCCTCACTATCGGCGGTCGGAGCCAAAATACTTTGAAAAAGTACTCTGGCAGAAATTGCTAAAGTAAATAGCTGCCATGCCCATGTTTTTGTCAGAAATACACAGTTATTAATGCAAATTGTTTGTGTTTCAGCACCTCTATTCTTTGTGTAGCTCCACAGTCAAACGGATCTCTTTAGAACTGGGAGGCAATGCGCCATTTATTGTGTTCAATTCAGCTGATGTAGACAATGCAATTGCAGGAGCCATGTCATCCAAATTCAGAAACACAGGCCAAGTCAGTCAGTTCTCTTCAGAAGCTAGACTCTAAAATAAGGTCTTCGCTTTCAACTTTTAGGCACTAACTTCCAGCCTAAATAAACCGTTGAGAAAAAGCGCGATAAAAAAGTACAATGCAACCGTCGATTTTTCAGCTAGTGTAAATTATCAAAACAACCAGGCGAAAAATCCGATTCTGCTATCGTTCTGGCGGCCCATGTGAACAATCCCCGCCTTAATAGACCAACTGAACAATCTCCTACCTATAATTAAATGGCAAATTCAAGCCGTAAGGCCATTTACTATGCTCAAATCTGATTGGCAGGAAATATTGATTAAAGGGAGGATGGTTCACTTTGTGCGTGCTGGCCACTGTATATACTCAACAACCGAGTGAAGATGATATTAAAGAACACCACTGAGAACAAGAAGGGGTGTATAATAAAGACTGATTATTATTATGATGTTCGAATTGGAAGGAATTATGACCGATGTTTAAGAGTCGATGAACGTAGTTCAGACTCCATATAGCTCGTGATAATTTTTTTTTCGTTTTTTGAAGTTTTTAAAATTTGTTCAGGCTCAATTTTACTTCTTTGCGGTTTGACTGTTGAATTCTTTTCAAGTTATGTTCATTTCCTTTGTTAATAGGAAGGCAAAATCCAAGCAAGTTTAAAGATGACGAAAAATGGGATCGACTTCTAATTTCAAAAATAAAATTTGTTTTTAAGATTTCCAGTGAAATTTACCAAGAAAATCAAAGAGCTTTAAGTGCACCTTTATTTTTTTGAAAATCAAAAGCTGAGATTTTTCCATAAAATATTTCAGTATCTTTTGTCTACTTGCGATCATTGACTCTTTTCCAACTGTCTGTGTGGGCTCGGAAGCGGTTGGTTGAGTGTGGTTACTAGCTTGCACGTGAGATAAGAAGGCATTGTCAAATTGGAAAATAGATTTTCCATTTATCAGCTTGTGTGTAGGAATTGACATTGACGGGCAATTGCCTTTTGGCGACCTCCCAAGAGTATAATCATTTCAAATTTCATAAAAAACTAATGTTAGTAGCTCGAATTCCAAAATAATTCTCCCCATGTTGAGAAAAACTGGCATGCATAACTTAATTACTCGCATGAATGGAGTGAGAGGCTGAAACAATCTAATTCTGTTACGACTTTTTTCTTATCTACGACTATTTCAAGCTCAAGCTTATAGCTTGTTATCTAATTACACAAATAAACGGTTGTGGTATATTACGAGTTAGAAAATTCTCGAAAACTACTAGCTGAATCTGATATCAAGGGTTCAATCTAAACATCAAGATGTGGACGTCTTGCCCGTATAAAAGGCTAGTCCCATGCTTAAGTGGAGAAATTTTATGGGTTTTTGGAATTTTCATTTTTTTTTGAAAACTACCCAGCCATATCTGAGACAGAGACGTCAATTGAAAGAGCGAGTAGTGTTTCCCTCATTTAGATAAGCGACTAATCCCCCACTTATGTTGTAAAATCACTAGGGTTTTGTGTAAAATCCCTTGTTGGAAAATTACTTTTTTCCGTATCAACACAATATATGATAACACTAGCCATCAGCTTAGCGTATTATTACGAACCTTATTTTTTTCTAACCTTACTCGCAAATAAAAGAGTTCATTAAAAGTTATCGCTTATTTTTGAAATTTCACTGAAGCATTGGAAATTGCATAGGATCTGTTCTCTGCTTTACTTGTGGCATGTATTTGCTGCCTATTAAGCTTCCGTGGCTGAGTGTTTAGTGAGTGAGACTCTTAATCTCAGGGTCGCAGCTTCGAATCTCATAAAAAACTAACACAAGTGGATCTAGCACTAGTTGGGCCACTAGTTTACTTCCAAGCGACCGTGGCGAAGATGCGAGAACGTGAGACTCCTAATCATCAGGTCGAAGATTCAAAGTCGAAACCTTGAAGTAGTTTTTTTTTCGGTCGACTTTTTGCTGCGTTGCATAGGCAATTTGATAAACTAGCTGCGTTATTTTGGCTAGTGTTAATAAAACTAAAAGCGAGCGTGGAGCAGATTTGAGAACTTGATTTTCCTAGTCTCACAATATTTTGTTTCAAGGTGGATTTTTGATCTATTCCTTATTGCTTGCTTAGAGCTCTTTGCATTTTCCTCGCTTTACTAGTCTCTGCTCTTTACTAGTGTTTGTTACCTATTAAACGTTCGTGGCTGAGTGGTTAGTGTCTGAGACTCATAATCTCTAGGGCACAGATTCGAATCCGAGACGTTGCCTAACTGTTACTAATTCGAGGCTTATTTGGAAATTTTCTTTTTGCATTTTATAGATCTGCTCCTTGTAGTTTTCTCGCTACTTTTTGCAAAGCGAAGCATGGTCTGTGTGTCAAAAATGGTACTTATGGTCCAAACGTCTCCTGTTCTATGTACCTGCATACTTTGCTAGTCTCTTTTCATTTTACCCCACGTTTTACGGCCTTCGAAATTTTCAGTGGGAGGATTTTTGACCTATTTCTTTTGAATTTCATTTTCTCAAGTTTCAAAAGAACAAATTATATGATATCCAGTCTCAAGATGCTATTTCCTAAATTCGGTAGAAAAAAAAGATATGACAGCAAAGAAGCCCCTTTTTGACATTTTGCTTAATTTTAAAAGTTTTCTCAAAAACTAACCTTCCAAATCGGAGGTTATCGGTTCAACCGATAGAAAAAAGCAGTTAAGCGAATCTTACCTGCGCAAGCCGTCTAAAAATATGGCCTTAGGAAATGTCCAGTGATTTAAATTTGGGCCGTTTTTTTTAAATTTCATCACTATTCTTAAAAACTACTATCTAAATTTGATATTATGGGTTCAATCTAAAAATCAGGGCGTCGAAGTCTTCCCTGCATAAGAGGCCATTACCATGCTTTATTAGAGAAAAGTTTATGGACCTAGGAAAAGTCAAATTATTGATTTTTTGATCGTTTTTTGGACTCTTTTTCACTTCTTTCAAAAACTACCCAGCCAAATCTAAGAATAAGAATGCTACTGAAAGAGCGAGTATTAGTTTAATCCTTAAGATAAGCTGCTAATATCGTACTTATTAGCTGCTTATTTGAAGCTATTGAGCAGAGAATTTCCAGGGTACTGCGAAAAGTCCACTTTTTCGAAATTCTGAAAATTGCGCATTTTCGTATCAGTACAAAATATGATTAAAAACATTAGAACAAGTACATTCAGCATTAGCTAGATCACTAGTTTAATTCCAAGTTACCGCGGCTCAAATGCGAGGACGTGAGTGACGCTCCCAGTCTCTAGGTCGGGTGTTCAAATCCGGAACATTGAATAAGTTTTATGTTTTGCTCGAAATTTTGCTGCTTTATTGGTGGCTACTGTTAGGAAAATTACAAGCGGTCGCGGAGCAGATGTGAGAACGTGATACTTCTAATCTTGTTTTGCCTGTTTAGAGCTCTTTTTAGCATTTTTCTCGCTTGTGTTTGCAAACCGCAGCTTCGCCTCTGTAGTATAAATGTACTGCTCGTAAGTTTCATCCGTATTGGTTTTTTTCTGATTTATTAGTGGCTGTTGTTTGAGGACAGCAAATTAAATGGGGCAGTTGTCGAGATAAAAACCATAGATCTTTGGTTCGAATCCCTTAGGGGGCAATTTTTATTGCAATAGTGGTAACACTGCAAATTTTTCTGAATAATTTTTGTTCCGTCCTCCGTACGAACAATGTAGGAAATTATTTAGTTTGCGAAAGCAAGTTTTCTTTGAATTAGGAACTAGAATTTTTCATATTTTCTTGGTCCTTGGTCTAATTGTAAAGCGCGTGCGTTAGGTAGGATCGCAAGGTTATGACAAGTTAATGACTTTTTATGACATTTTTGTAGAGATAAGTTTTTTGAGACATTTTATAGTAATTTGTCCGAGTTCCGTATCAGTTTCTATCTGCTAGCTTGCAGAGCTACGTTTGTTTTGTGCCGGACCTGTTGTCAAGATCCCTTTAGCCTCTGCTTACATTGCATTTGGCCAAATATTTTTTCTCGATAGAAACTGCGTTCCGTAAGTTGAACGTGAAAAGTACGTGTTTCGACCTGATTATCATTGAATCTCATATGTATTTCTAGGGTGCACAAGTGGCTCATAGATGATATCAGAGGCTTTGACCGCTGTAGATAGTTGAGTCCAGGAGGTATCTTTCTGCAAACTTGCTACATATAGTTTTTTTACGCTTGCGATTAGAAAGCGTTATCAAATCGGAAGACTTTTTTCTAGTTACCAACTATTTTAACAAAATCAGTTGTAGCAATTATGCTGACATGCTCAATTTCATGAAAGTTTAAATTATCTATCAGGTACTGCTCAAACTTTTGCATGTATAATTGCAGAGTTCTGCTGATGATTTTTCGGCTTCATTGTTGTCGACTAGTTCCTGTTTGATTAAAACAGGTATGATGAAAGTGTATGGATTCGGGATTTTATTTGTTTTGGATAGTCCTCCCCTTCCCTCTGTATGCCTGAATAATCACCTAGTCTCTTTTTACCTTTACTTCACTTTCTACAAACTTCGAAAAATTGTTTGGGGGAATTTTGGACCCGTATATATTTTTTACTTTTTCTCAAAAACTACCTCCCAAATTTGAGATAATAGCGAGAACGTGTCACGAGACGCTCCCCTCCGAAAGCGACTACGCCCAAATTTTTTGACGCCCAAATATTATGGCCCTCGGATAAGTCAAACTTTCGATTTTTAATCGTTTTTTGAAACTTTTTGACTTTAATCGAAAACTACTCTTCCAAATCTGAGTTCAAGGGATCAATGGAGAAAACAGGTTATGTGAAGCCTCCGTGCATAAGCGGCTGTACCCAATTTGTTCACATAGAAAGTTATGGCCCTCGGGTGAAGTTTTTGAATTTTCGATCGATTTATGAAACTTCTGACTTTTCTTGGAAATTACCCTCCCAAATGTGAGTTTTTGATTTTAATCGAAAGGACGAGTTGTGGGAAGCTCTCCTGCCCTAACGGCTCTGTTTAAATCCTTTATACGAA